CTCCGCCTTCCGAATAGCTGGAACTACAGGCATGCGCTACCACGCCTGGCTAATTTTTTTTTGATTTATGGTAGAGATGAGGTCTCGCCTGCCCAGGTGGGTCTCGAACCCTCAGCCTCCCAAAGGCGCGGGATTACAGGCTGAGCCACCAAGCCCAGCTCGTGTGTACTTTTTTGACTCCCGCTTGTAGTGTCCCATGTGAGAAATGCCGTGGAGATGCCGTGGGAGAAAGTCAGGGTAAGCATGGGACCGTCGAATCTGGTCACAGTATCAGGCCTACCTGGATATAACTACTCCACAGAGATGGACCCAGAAACATCTGCGACTTTACCAAGTAGTAAATAACCTCCTGAGGCAAAGAAACAAGAGCCTTCTGCTTGGGCTCCCAGGAATGGACGGGTGAGCAGCTGCTGGCTCTCACTTGCCTTGTTGCCACCAAGAATGTATCTCTACAAACGTACTAGAGTCCACCTGAGAGTGGAGAGGCAGGCACGAGGATTTTGCTAATGGCTTGAAACTGAAATTATCTTTCATCTCTATTTTTTTTTTTTTTTGAGTTGGAGTCTCACTCTGTCACCCAGGCTGGAGTGCAGCGGCCACTCCCGGCCACCGCAGCCTCGACTACTGGGCTCCGGCGATCCTTCGGCCTCAGCCTTTCGAGCTGGAACTACAGGTATGCGCCACTACGCCCGGCTAACTTTTCGATTTTATTGTAGAGACGAGGTCTTGCCAAGTTGCCTGGGTGGGTCTCGAACCCTCGGGCTCAGGCAATCTACTCACCTCAACCTCTTCAAATGCTGGGATGACAGGCGTGAGCCACCACGCCTGGCTCTCAGTTTTTTTAAATGAAGAGACTCTTTTAACACTTTATTGAAAGTATCCTTATATTTATTTTCCGAAGACTAAACACTGGATGCTATATGAACTGTCTGTAAGCAATGGGGAGAAGGACCCAAGATTTCCCTTCATGATTTGAAAGCTCTGTTTCCTACTACCATCTTTTTTTCCTGGTTGAAGAATGGTCACGCTTAATACAAAGATTCGCTTTAAAGATCTCATTCCTTACCTAACCCTGAATTGTATCCCACATCCTTAAAATAAAAAAAAAATTAAAAAGGAAAAGAAAGAAAGAAAAAATAAAGATCTCATTCCTAGTTGACAGTAAACTTCTTCCTGGACTTGAGCAGTAGAAGGACTTGTGGCAAACTACGGTTAAGCCAAAGTTCCCAAAGTGATTTGTCAATAGATGGCAAAAAGAACATTATCTTATTTCCAGGTGCTTCTCAATAAATCTTACAAGCTCCTTGAGGGAAAGATCATGCTTATTTACTTTGTATTTACCCATTACTAGCCTTATGCATGGCTACGTACAGTCAATGAGCAAATAAAACTTCAGTTTCCACAGACACATCCTAGACCGAAAGGGGAAACTGTCTCTTTTTAAAAAGGCTGAGAAATACACTTAGCCTTAAACAAAAGCTGAAAGGTTTTAGTAGACAAGTAAGAAACAAAAAAAACCCAATGCTTCAACTAGACAAAAGAGGAGATGGTTTCAAAGTAAAGGGCTGGCTAAGAAGTGACAGGTGCCGAGTTTAAGAGGATTGGAAGCATTACCTTCCTTCATGGAGAGAGCTGCCAGCTTGAGGGGCAGATCTGAGGTTCCCCCCGCAGTGGCCGAACTCTGGATGTCTGGCAAGGCGTTCCGGCGGCCTGCCCTCGCTGAGGATGCAAAGTTGACGACCCCAGCCTCCACATCTGTCATTGTGGATGGCTCGGTCCGCATAGCCACATCTGCAAAGGGAATGAGCACACGAAGAAGAGGGTGAGTCTGTGCAGGGCTCAGCGTCCACCAAGTGTCTGAAAGGCATGGCACGGTCAAAAACACAACAGGCTCGAGCGTCTAACCACAGATCACAACCTTCGTCAGTGTCTCCCGTGACGGTCCTGGGGCGTCCGTTTGCACTTGAGCTGGATCGAGCAGGAAGTCCTCCGTGGGAGCCAGAGCGCTAAAAATAACCCCTGAGCAGAATGAGCCACTTGGATGCTTAAGGGTGTAGTAATCCCTTGCCTTTTGTTCTGCTTTTCTATGGATGGAGGGCTGGGAAGCAGATGAAAACGGGCTCATTTGACCACTCCTGGAGAGACTCTGCCTGCCAGGGTTTGCTTGTGGTGCTTGTTCAGGCTGAAACCCAATCACTATGATTTGTAGGGACCAAACAAAACATGCTCTGTTTCTACTCTTTAGAAATAAGAAATTCCACTTTATCTCAAAGGCTTCCCCCCACCAGAGAAAGCTGTGCATTTTGTTCTGTTCTGCTCTCAGACGTAATTTTCAATAGACTCACGTTTACGTGAGGGGGAAGAGGATCTGTTTTACCTTTCCTTGGTTTCTGGTGGGCATGGGAATTACTGGTGGTTTCCTAAGCATCCTTTATCTTTCCTGCAACTGTCTATCTCTGAGAAAGAATTCTCAAGACATCACCCGCTGGGCAGGGAGGGAGAGAACAGTCATTGCTTATTCTACACGTGGCCCTCAGTCCGTATGATATCTTCTAATGAATCTTTCCTAAGAAGTCAACACTGGATAACATCTCAAAAGCTGTAGCAGCAGCCTCCAAGCATCTGTTGAGACACTGTGAAATGCCAGACTCTCGGCTAGGCATTGAGAAGACAGAGATATGGTCTACGCTCCATCTTCTGGGACCCTGCACTCTCAGAAGGGAGAGAGAAGGTAGGCATGCAAAGATAGACATCATAACATAGAGCGTGCTAAGTATCCACCAAGGGATGGAGACAATAACCATTTGTGCACTTAAGAGGGCAGAAAATGTGAACGCCAGCCTATGCTGAGAAAACCAGACTTTTCATGGCAGTTGAAGGAAGTCTTATCCAGTTCAGGAAATGCTACGAAGGGAAAGAAACATGGTGATTTGATATTAGAAATATGCATCTTTGGTTCATAGCACCCAAGAAATGTATATAGAGCTTAGGAGTCCGGGAATAGTCTGGACTTGCCCAACTAAAGAGGCAATGTATTCATTCCACAGTTATCTTTCTTGTATCTCTTTTCATATTTTGACTTGTAATAACAAGCCTATATTATATTTATAATTGAAAAGAGTAGAATTATTCACCTGGGCGAATTAGGAATGAACAGATATTCTCATACAGAAAGGCTTTTCTAAAAGTGACACCTTAACAATTTTACCCAATAAAGGCATATTTATAAGTAAAAGCCCCTCCTCCCTCCCCAAAATTGCCATCTAACTTTTCGACTGTAAGTTTTCTACACAATATTGATTGCATACGCTTGATTTTTTTTAAAGGAGATGATACACATATAAAACAGAGACCATTGCTCTCTTCCAGTGCTCTGTGACATTTAGAAATATATAATCCATTAAAAGATAGGAAACACTACGAAGAAAAGTGACCGATTAACTTCCAGGTCCTTTTGATTTTCTGGGTTTAAAAAGCTAATCATGTTTGTGTTTGCTAACCAAGGCAGCTGAGTCACTTGCAACCCTTCCTCTTTTTCTTATACAGAATTGGCAGAGGAATCTGGATGAGTTCTGCTTTGTCAACCGTGGCTACTTACAAAAGCTGGAACCATTTGGACATCTGGAGATTTCGCAGAAGTCCTTGCATGCCCACAGCAAGGTAATGCAATTTACATTGCCTGGGACACACTTGCAGTTCTACTGAAGACACACAGTTTTCAGGATGTTTAGCAAAAGAGCTTTATGCAGTCATATAGACACACATGCTAGCATCTCTGCGGTCTCTGAAATATTGAAAATGCAACACCAGCACAACTGAAGAGGATAAAGATGTTCAAGTTAAATAGAGCACTAAATGCACATAAAAAAAATCAGTTGTCAGCCCCCAGTGGGCTCCAAAGAGCCCGCTAAGAAGAGAGGATGTTAGTACGTTATAAGCATAATTAAAACAAACGGAACTTTTTGCAAACACTTTTCCTCCCAAACAAGACAGTCCTTTCCCTCAGCTCACACATGCTGTCCTCAAGCTTCCTAACTTAAAGTTAAGATTGCAAAGAGATGGATACCTCCTTTTCATCTCCAGATCTGTACCACTCAGCCCATCTCCCACAGTGAAACCACCACTGGCTCTGTACCTAAGACTTCAAATAAACTACCTGACCTGTTCACTAAATGAGTTCTTTGGGGCTATGAGTCAGACTGTCTGTAAAACTACTTAGAATAACAAAAAAAAAGGAAGTAAAACACACATTTTGGAAAGTCATGGCTTTTCCTGATCAAAGGCTGAGAGAGAAAGACAGACCGACAGACACTGATAAACAAATGCCTTCTCTTTCTCTGGCTCTCAATAACCTACTTTACACTAGATTTCTGCAGTTCTCTGCTTGTAGATCATTATTTTGTATGATTTTCTGTTTTGAAACATACAAGTCTCTTCCAAACAAGGTGAAAGAACTAGAACAACTGCTTTCATACATGCCAACAAAAACAGATAATTATTTATTCATCCAGTCTACGTTAATTGAGCTATTACTAAATTATTAAGTGCAAGGCCCTGTGTTTGCCCTACAAGTTACAAAGAGGAACCCAAAGTCTGGTGAGATGAAAGACAGCCTGATCTTTCTAGTTACCTTTCTTGTCCTCAAAACGTATTCTTTATAAATAAAGCAAAAGTATCTATTTTAAAGTGTGAATCATTTAACACATGTATTATTTACCTAAGTATCAAGACTGCATTAGGCTAAATAGAACTCACATGAAATGTAGACAAATATACATTTTTTTCAAAGTAAAGTCCTTCATCTTTTAAAAATTCTTCCCACACATTGTATTTCTGTGCCTCTGCTGTAAACCAAAGGGAATTCTACCTTTTGTTGACACATGAATTTTTTTTAAATTCTTAGTAGGTTCTTACCTAATAGTTACATAGATCCTTCAACATACACCGGTAGCCAGGTGGAACTCATTTTGACCATGGACAATTTTTTGACGATTAAAACTCATAAAATCAAAAATATAAAGTCAGACTGAAGTCTTTCTGCCATCTTCCAGATAAACTAATGGACAAATCTGAATACCTTTCTGACACAATGATACTTATACCAAGGGCCACTTACAACAGTAATATAAATGGATATGGGTGAATAATTTTTTAAAAAAGAGTAACCTCAATAAACCATGTAGTCCCTTGGAGTGTGTGTATGTGTGTGTGGGGGGGCGGGTTGGGTAATGTTCAGTTGGTCCTTCTTTTCTTTTAGCTTCCTGACTTACTCAGGACACACCCTCCCCAAAGGACTGTTGGGAGTCAGTTTGCTATAGGGGTTCTCCCAACTCCTTGCAGCTTCCCAAAAGGACTATCAAACCATCCCATTATTGCAGGATTTTAAATTGGAGAGGATCAAATAGTCCAGGCTTCCAGATCCAGGTGCTTACGTAACACACCACTGTAACATGGTCAGTTTAGGTCAAAGGCTTTCCTAAGGTAAGACAGTATTTTTCCTGCCATTACCATGATTCTTCCTGCTCCTTTCACTAATAGAAAAAATATATTGGAATAAAAATGAAAATTCATTTTACTTGAAAAAGTTTTTCTAAAAAATAATCAAGCTTCCTTCTTAATATGTTATCTTGAGTGGGGTGTGTGTGTGTGTGTGTTATGTATAGTGGGTGGTATCCAGAAAAAAGAGTGAAATTTTTACTTCTTTTTTAGGTAAGCATAATCCTAACCAAGCAGAGCACCTCTTCCGTCTACATCTTACATAGTTTTGGCCCTTATTTCTATCTTCAGAGTGTTTAGAATCAAGAGTACTTTGCACAGATTGCAAGGCATCCTTCTCGTTCTTTTTTCCTTTTCTTTATCTTACCTCAAACCCGGCTAGATGCCTTCATTTCCATGCATTTCACATTATTCTTCCCGATCAGTGACTCAAATATTGTCGGGTTCTGACTTTATTAAGGCACAAGAGCCTGCTTCAAGGAGTGTCTGGGCTCAATGAAAAAGAAATACCTACCTAACACCACCTCCGTGCCGCACCAGCTAGTGCACGTGGGACTCGGCAAAGTAGGTAAGGGCCTCCCATGCCTCGGCTGGCCATCTGCGAAGGCCACGTGCGAGGCAGCTCAGCCACGCAATCAGAGGCGGAAGCAGCGAACTCGGAAGCAGAAACGAGGCTTCGCGGGGAGCAGGGCGGTCGATGAGGTCCCAGGGGACAAGGGCGCAGCTCCCGGGAAGAGGCTGCCCTGTCCGGTCTGCTCGTCTTCCCCCTCCCCCAACTGCTTTTGGACACAGAGTCTTCCCAGATCTCACAGGGGCACGAAGACACTTCACGCACACGCCAAACGCCCAGAACCGGATCCGCACGCGTGGGAAAACGACGGGATTGGGAAGCTCTTGCGGGTGGTTTGCGCTCTTTCCCTCAAAGAGGGAACACAGCTCGTCTGTGCACAGGGTTTCAATGCAAGGTCTAGGCAGTCAGTTCCCCTTTGAAACGAGATAGGTGCTTTCAAAATGTCAAGTGACTGTTGATGACAGCAGTAGGAAGGACAGAAGGGGAAGTTGACTCTGACCAACATGGTCACAATACAAAGGGCGCTATGTCCCTCTGCCTCGTTCAGGGACTGGAACACAGTTGCTGAATACAAACCTATATTAATAAATGCTGATGCCCGTCCATCGTGAACCGGTAAACACAGTCAATGAAAGTTCTTTTCATCATTAGTATTCATAAAAAGGCCTGGATGTAAATAAGAAAGAAAATAAAAGCCGGGCTCGGTGGCTCAGCCTGTCATCCC